GAGACCAGTTCCTGCCCACCCGGCAGATGCCATAAAAGCTTTGCTCTTGCTTGGGTCAGCCTGGGGTCTCTGTCCTCCTGTGCTGTTTCCTTCTAGCTCAGGCAGATGTCCTTAATAAAGCCTTAGCTGTGTTTAAAGTCTCCTTAGGTCCACTGTTCGTTTCTGCAGTCTAGATCCAAGAACCCAAGTTCAGTAACACCTTCAGACTGGAATTTATATCACTGCTCTCCTGGTCTGGATCTCAGCCTCCACAATCGTGTGTGAGACAATTCTTTAAATCTATCTCTTCACACACCAGCCCTCACATCTGACTGGTTCTAATTCTCTGGAGAAGCCCAATACTAGCATTTGCTTTGCCATTTAGTCAGGGGGTTTTGCAGGCGTGTGTTCACTGCAGAGAGTAAACAGAAGTGATCCAGTCAGTGAAAACCAGTCAGTGTTAAGCAAAGGAAGCCAACACACTCGGCACGTGGCAAGGATGTCAGAAACATGGAGACATTCAGCCTGTCTGACAGGTATTCCAGGGGATGGCCCACAAGTCACTTTTTCCCATGTAGCTACCCAGCATCTCAGCCAGGTTTGTGGGAAGCCCATTCCTTCCTGACTGAGTCACTCTGGCACCTCTGATCTTTTTCTTTTTTTCAGCCAGGTTTATGGAGGTATGACTTACGCACAATAAAATCCCCTCTTCTTGTTAAAGGTACAGTTGGGCGAGGTTTGGCAAACATGCCCTACAATTAAAACACAGAACATTTCCGATACTCCCAAGAGTTCCCTCATCCCCTGCCTGGTCACCCAGCTCCAGATAATGTCAAGCTGTTTTCCAGAATATAAATGGAGCCACACAGGACAGGCCACTGTGTATGGCTTTTTCCACTTAGCATAACACTTCTGAAATCCATCCAGATCTGTGTCAGTAAAAACTTCCTTTTCTTATTGCCGAGTAGTATTCACAGTATGAATATACCACTGTTAACCTTTTTCCCAATAATGGACTTTGGGGTAATTTCCTTCTTTTTTTTTTTTTTTTTAAAGAGGGTGAGAGAGAAAGAGAGAATTTTTTTTTTAAATATTTATTTTTCAGTTTTCGGCAGACACAACATCTTTGTTTGTATTTGGTGCTGAGGATCGAACCCGGGCCGCATGCATGCCAGGCGAGCACGCTACCGCTTGAGCCACATCCCCAGCCCAATTTCCTTCTTTTTGAATAAAGCTGCCACTAACTTTATTGTATTAAGGCCAGAACTTTTTTTTTTTTTTTAATACTGAGACTTTCAAAAAGCGTGACAAGGTGGTATAAACAAAATCAAGTGCCTTTTTCAGCTGTTGGGAAATTCTGCAAGATGCATAAAAGATATTCTATACCAATGCTAGGAATTCATTTAAAGACCAATCAAACTGACTGACTATTGAAGTGTGGCATACAAATCTTAGATTGCTAATGACTACTCAGTTATGAAACGGTAGGGGTCCCACACTGACATCCACAATGCTGCATGGAGACAGTCAGATTCTAAAGGAGTGAAGAGCTGTGTCAAACATGTGCATTAGCAGCCTTGACATAAAGAAGTCCTTTCCCCTAAGTGCTGGGCTCTAGAAGCACGACAGTCTCCATCAAAATCCCAGCAGGCTTTCCG